AGGGTGAGGAGGGAGGAGGGAGGAGGGAGGAGGGAGGCTATGGCGAGGAGGAAGGAGGGAGGTTATGGTGAGAGGGACGATGGAGGCAGGGGGAAGGGTTGTGCTGCGTGAGAGGAGGGAGGACTTGGAGTTAGTAGGAAGGCTATGGCGGAGGGGGGAGGGGGGAGGAGGGATGAGGGAGGAAAGAGGAGGGAGGCTATGGCGAGGAGGGAGGAGGGACGCTATGGCGAGGAGGGAGGAGGGACGTTACGGCGAGAGGGACGAGGGAGGAGGGGTTGCGCTGTGTGAGAGGAGGGAAGAGGGAGGAGGGAGGACGAAGGCTATGGCGGAGGAGGGAGGAGGGAGGAGGGAGAAGGGAGGAGGGATGCGGGAGGAGGGAGCGAGGAGGGAGGCTATGGCGAGGAGGGAGGATGGAGGCTATGATGAGGAGGGAGGAGGGAGGTTATGGCGAGAGGGACGAGGGAGGAGGGGGGAGGGGTTGCGCTGCGAGAGAGGCTATGGCGGAGGAGAGAGGAAGGGTGAGAAGGGAGGAGGGAGGAGGGAGGATATGGCGAGGAGGGAGGAGGGAGGCTATGGTGAGAGGGACGAGGGAGGAGGGGGGAGGGATGGTGCTGCGTGAGAGGAGGGAGGAGGGAGGAGGAAGGCTATGGCGGACGGGGGAGGAGGGAGGAGGGAGGAGGGAGGAGGGAGGCTATGGGGAGGAGGGAGGAGGGAGGCTATGGCGAGGAGGGATGAGGGAGGCTATGGCGAGAGAGACGAGGGAGGACGGGGGATGGGTTGCGCTGTGTGAGAGGAGGGAGGAGGGAGGAGGAAGGCTATGGCGGAGGAGGGAGGAAGGGTGAGGAGGGAGGAGGGAAGATGGAGGAGGGAGGTTGTGGCGAGGAGGGAGGAGGGAGGCTATGGCGAGGAGGGAAGAGGGAGGCTATGGCGAGGAGGGAGGAGAAAGACTATGGCGAGGAGGAAAGAGGGAGGCTATAGCGAGGAGGGAGGCTATGGCGAGAGGGACGAGGGAGGAGGGGGAGGAGGGGGTGTTGCGTGAAAGGAGGGAGGAGGGAGGAGGAAGGCTATGGCGGAGGGGGGGGGAAACATAAGGAGGGAGGACATAGGAGGGAGGCTATGGTGAGAGGGACGAGGGAGGAGGGAGGAGGGGTGCGCTGCATGAAAGGAGGGAGGAGGGAGGAGGGAGACTATGGCGGAGGAGGGGGTGCGCTGTGTGGGAGGAGGGTGGAGGGAGAAGGAAGGCTATGGCGGAGGAGGAGGGAAGGAGGCTATGGCGGCTGATGACGTAGAGTTGGTGGGGGGGTACGACGGAAGAGGGAGGGCCGAGGTGACAGAGAGTGGAGGAGGGGGGAGGTGGTGGCCGCCGTTGGAGGAAAGAGAGAGGCGATGGCCACCAGTGAAGAAGAAGAAGAAGAAGAAGAAGAAGAAGAAGAAGAAGAAGAAGAAGAAGAAGAAGAAGAAGAAGAAGCGGAAAAAAAAAAAATCAAAAAAGAAAAAGAAAAAGAAAACGAAGAAGAAGAAGAAGAAGAAGAAGAAGAAGAAGAAGAAGAAGAAGAAGAAGAAGAACAGCAACAACAACAAGAAGGAAAAGAAGAAACGAAAACGAAAACGAAAACGAAAAAGAAAACGAAAAAGAAAACGAAAAAGAAAACGAAAAAGAAAACGAAAAAGAAAACGAAAAAGAAAACGAAAAAGAAAACGAAAAAGAAACGTAATAGAAGAAACGAGGAAGGAAAAAAAGAAGAAGAAGAAGAAGAAGAAGAAGAAGAAGAATAAGAAGAAAAAAAAGAAAAGAAGAAGAAGAAGAAGGAAAACAAGAAGAGGAAAAAAAAACGGAAGTCGACGGGAAGAAGAAGAATAAGAAGAAGAAATAATAATAATAAAATGATAATAATAAAATAATAATAAGAATAATAAGAAAAATAAAAACGCAAACTTAGTAACTTACCTCAAAGTTCGACCCTTCGTGAAAATGGCGCACGGCAGCACTCAAGAAAGTCGGCGGGAAGGCGGATGAGGACGATGGTGTGGCAGCTGGAGGACGACGAGGACGCGGCAACAGGGGGACGACGATGGCAGGGCAACGGGACAACGACGATGGAGGCAGCATGACGGTGACGACGGCACGGCGGGAGGGTGGCGTCGTCACAGGAGGGCGGTGGCGTCACTGGCACCTGGCAGAGGGGTACGTGGCGGGGGGCAAATCGGCCCAGGATTCAAATTTGAATCCCGGGAGCCACGATCGTCGTCGATCGCCAACGATCAATAACCAGGAGTGAAAAAAAAAACCTTAAAAAAAAAAGGCCTACTGGGCCCTGAAAAATAGCGCCCGACCGCCAAATAACTTTTTGGCTTGTGGGTCAATGGCCAGCGGCGCGAAAAAAAAAAATTGCCCCCATTTTGGGTACGGCGCTGAGGGGGCCCGGGTGCCTGGCCGGGGGGGTTGCACGACTGAGCGCTATGTCGGGCGTGCTCCGGTGCCCAGGGGGCACGAGGGGAAAAACTAGGCATTTAGCGGGTACGTGCGCAACCTTCTTTTCAACGTGTCGTCTTTTGCCCATCAATCCAACACACACGAAGCATAGGAATCAATGAAGCAATTACTTATGTTTCTATTATTTTTTCCCTTTCTTTGGAGGACGCTCTTCCACAATAGACTTGCATGACAGACCACAGTTAAATTAATAAACAACAATAACTTAATGTTTATTATGAAGTAAATTTTATTCAGCCTACTTATTTGGCCATCAACCTTTCATCAAACAAAGAACGAAAAACAATACATGACGTTCGCTTCTCAAGATATGTCAGAAAGCTATAAAACATATGATAGTGTGAAAAAGAATTTAAAGAAAGAAGGGTATAAATCCTGATCTGATTAGTCGATTGTATTCTGACTACATGGTACCTTCAATTTGGTTGGCTATCTGTTTCTGAGTCAATCGAATCATAAAGGTGACCCTGACTGGATTTGAACTCCTTCCTTTTGTCAATACCATATTGTCTCTTTCGAATGTTTATCACCTAGTAACATGCATGCAATTTCCCCTCTCATACCTCCTTGAAATAATAAGCGAGATGATGGAAGGAAATGTTGAGGCTTTAATGTCAACAACTGCACGCTCTCGTATGGTGCTTGCTTGCAAGTCTGATCTCTCTGTCTAGTATGCCCATAAATTGATTTTGAAAATCGAATGAAAGTTGTGGTGGTAATAGTTTCATGGAAAGAAAATGAGGTCATCAACTTTCAACGGCTCTCGCGTTTCTCACGAGTCAACGCGTCGGGAGATGATTGATGAAAATAACAAGCTAGGGGCATAGCAATGAAAGCTCATATGCTCTTTATAACCGTCCGATTATGACGAAACAATAACCCAATTAGCTCATCTACTTATTTCTTCTCCCTCGTTAATCCAGGCATCATTTACTTATATACTGCCTGATTTTTTCCTCATGCGCATGTCACTGGTAACTGAAATTATCTTATGTCCCTCTTTCTCTTGCGCAAGTTGTCAGTCCCAAGTACATTCCAAGGACCGCCTCACGACCCCAAAACTATCGGTTTTCTCAAACTGCATTTGATTCCGTGAGTAAGGGATCCTCCACAAGGAAGACTCAGACTCACAATAGTTGACAAAAGCACGAGGGCAAAGGTGACGTCAAACAAATGAAGATTACATAACTCATCCACGAGAGTCGGACTCCTCTCCGCAGTATAGTCAGTTACACAACGGATTTTCGAAGTGTATTATTATTACTCGCAGAAGATGAAGAATCTTGCAGATGATGATAGTGTCTTTTTTTGTCTGTGTCGCACCTCTCGGATGTATCTCGAATGGCGTAAATTGCTTATTGCCAAATAGTGTCTTCGTTGAAGTTTGACTCCTTCTCTAGTATATATGTGTCACAATATGCCTGACCGTATACTTTTCTCGTCCGAGTCGTTCGCAACTCCCTCTTGTATGCCCTACCTTTGCTCGCAGCACAAGGACTTACGCAAGTAGGATGACGAAAAATGACGTCAACCACATAACACGCACATACTTCTTGCGAGCGTCTCTCAATAAGTTTTGACCCCAGACAAAAGAAAGCACACCATTACGCATAGGTCGCTCCACACGTTTATCCGTTGCTTTGCTCTATCATGATCCTGATTAGCCATCCGTAACTGCCTCGACCTCAATCCCTTCGTCGACATGAGCTGGTCTCAGGAACGAAAGTCTGATCTCCCCTCTACGCGTTGTTGGGGCTAATACCCTTATAAGGGTATTTGCCCAAGTTTTTTAGTTCGACAAAGCGGCGGTATTGACCACCATATCTGAGCCAAAATTGGCTAAAAAACTTACATATTTTGGTGGGACACTTTGGGATATCTGGGCTAATACCCGTACAAAGGTATTTGCCCATATTTTTGCATTCGACATAAGTGGCGGTTTTGACTACCATGTCAGAGCTGGTTTGAAGTGTAGTGCTTGTGCGCTTTTGCACGACAATCTGAGATCGGTTCCTCGACTACTAAGGCCGAGGCGTATAGGTAAGAAAATTTGGTTAGCTCATGCCAATGTTATCACGATGCGCGTTAGGACAATTAGAATTAGTATTGTACTCTCTCGACATTGGAAGGTCGAGGGGGTCCGTTAACATAAAAGTCCGCTGAGATTAGTAGTGCACGTGTAAAACTTGGGGATTAATACTCCGATGTGCCTAAAGCCCGGCGACATGGTTAGAACTGGAAAAACATTCCGACCGTATGGTCGGGGACTACTAAGAGGTTGATTCTCGAACGGGATTGTACGCTAGCTATGCAAATAGGGATAAAATAGCAACGAACGTATACCCCGACGACATTTGAAATATACCCGGCCGGTTGGATGGGGTTGTCGGGGCCTGTGTTCGCCGACACAAGTAAAAGGGGGGCAAATGCACAAGGTAAAAAGTCAGGTGGTTAATGTTGCCACGTGCCCAAAACAGGGGTTAAAACAATTAATAAAGGCACCGGCCAGGCGGCCGAGGCGACTAAGGGGAGAACCAGAAAACGACTAGGCGTAGTTGTCATAGAAACAAGGCCAGCAAGCTAAACTTGTAGTGCGGCAGCTGTGAATTATATCACCCTTAGATCTAGGTCAATAGGTAATGGGTCAGATGTGCATATTAACGATTAATGGATCGAACCCCAACGCCCATTGGGTTAGTTCTTTTACAGCTTTAAGAACCCGAATTCGTTCGTCCTCAGCCCACTGTGAAGGCGAGATTCGAACCGGCGCCCAACGAGATAGGAGTACTTAGTCGTTTTTCTTTCCTTTCTTTCAGTTCCCGCGCCCGACAGTTGGCACCCCGGGTTAGATCTTCTTTCTTTTATTTTGAGTTTTGTTATTCTTTTGTTGATCATGATCCCGTACGTGCAAACAAATATTCTCGATGAATATCCCGCAGATGGAAAGACAGATTCATTCGAGTGTAGCTAATGCTATCTCCATCGAGTGATCCGCAACCGGGTCCGTTCAACCCCGCCAAGAGCAGAGGAAGGAGTTCGTGAAGCCTGTCGGACTTCGGCGCGGTTAGTGGAACGACAGCGAGCGGGGACACGAGGTACACGAGGAGGTGATGGCCGCAGGGACGGAGAGGACCGCAAGGGTGGAAACGACAGCGCGATGGAGGACCAGTAGGGGAGGGAGACAGAGATAAGCGGGGCGTGGCAGAAGATGGAAACAACGCGTGGACCAGAAGGAAGGAGAGCGCGAGGTAGAGGAGAATGGAAGAAGAAGAAGAAGAAGAAGAAGAAGAAGAACAAGAAGGAGTAGTGGTAGTAGTAGGAGGAGGAGGAGGAAAACGATAGGGGAGAAAGGGGCGTGGCAAGAAGAGGACAAACGAGCGGGCACGCTATGGAGACACGCGTGCGGACGGACATGACAAACGTTATGCATGCGAGAGCAGGAGTAGGACGAGAAGAAGAGCGCGCTGGAGGACGACGACGATGACCACATGACCACGACCAGTTGACTACGACGACGACGAAGAAGAAGAAGAAGAAGAAGAAGAAGAAGAGAAAGAGAAAGAGAAGAGGAGACGAGGTTGAACGTTGAAACTTACCTGCAGTGCGCTATGCACGAGTCATTGTGACGAGCTCAGGATAGCTTCCTGTTAATATCGATCTTGAAAGAGGACTGCCTACCAGTAGTAAGTGCGAGTCATCAGCTCGCGCTGATTACATGACATCCCTCCCTTCCAGCATGCCATCTTGGCATCAAAATTGAGGTGTAAACGTTTCGTATTATTCAGGAAGAAAGGGTGTTGGAGATGCTGGCATCAGTGTCGGTGTCGCTGCTTCTCAGATGTCAGACCACGATGCAAGAAGTCCTTTGCTGCATGTAGCGGTTCACCGTGGTGGAAAGGTAGCTTTGAGTCTTTGAGCGCGCTCCAGTTTTTGGAGTATTACTATAAGTGCTCATGCGCAGACAGCCCTGTGTGAGCTTGGCGGTTAGAAGACAGAGAACCCCATCAAGTTGAAGCCCGTTGTGTTCCTTTCTCCACTGACAAGTCTTCTTGTATGCATAATATGTTCGTTCCAAATCTGCTCAATGAGCCTTGCTCCACTACACAACGTTCTAAATGACTATAGGCAGGACAACGGTCCTGATGCATTCGAAATTTGTGGTGAGTCAGAATGTTTTCTGGTCAAAATAGAGCGCAGATGCGTTTTAAATGATGCGTAGTAGTGAAGCGAGGCCCGATGTATTCAGCAATTCTATGCACTCTAGCGTCAGGTCTGCGCTCTGATGTAATATCCCAATCGATGTGCGGCCTGCAGGCAATTGTGACTTTTGGATTATCCAGGCTAAACATTAAGAAGACCTCTTCCACTTCCTGTGTGTTAGCCCTTTGCACCATGTGGCTCTTGTGGAAACTCTGCCTAATGCAAACTTGCTCCCTTTTTCCCTTCCACCGTCGTTTGTGACGTTAGGTACCTGTGCACCACTTTGTGTACAGAATTACCCTTTTGAATGTAGTCGAGACGCTGGAGGTAATCCAGAGTTGATTTTGCAGTTGCTTTTCCTTCTTGGCATCTTGGGTGCCGCGGTCTTCCTTGAATATACCACTGGTTGTGGTGAAGGTTGTATGTGATCCGAGTGACTGTAGATGCGACACTACCAAAGGGGGTGGCTGCCCGCTCCATCCAATCCCGATTTCCGTCGAGAAAATCCAATGTGATATTCTGTCGGGTCATTCCTTCCTTCCCTAGAGAGGGATCATTGTTGAAATTGGTGTGGAAGCTCTCCTCATTTCTTCTTCACTAGTCTCAGGAGAGAGAGAAATTTACTGACCCGCTATGTACAGAGGGGTGTGCTCACATGCACGTTTGTGGGTGCGTGTACCCACACCCACACCCACACACGCACACACACACACACACACACACACACACACACACACACAGAGCAGTGACCTGGGGATTCTCGCCCGCACTTGTTGTCTACCATAAACTATGGCGCTCACATCGGAAGATATCTAGTCTGTTTATTCTCTCCTACGGAATGCCATCAGCCAGGAAGAGAAAGCAGCGCAAGTCGGCTGAGGAAGCATCAAGTCATTTATTCATTCTGCCTGTGAGT